AACCCTGCCATCTCCATCCCTGTCTGCCCCTGCCCTCCGAGCCTGCCACCTGTGTCACCTCCATCCCTGCCTGCCGCTGCACCCCAACCCTGCCACCTCTGTTACTTCCATTGCTGCCCAGCAATGAACCCCAACCCTGCCACCTCCGTGTCACCTCCATCCCTGCCCAGCACTTCCACTGTCCCCTGCTCACCACTGCACCCTGATCCTGCCACCTCCGTCACCTCTCTGCCTCTGCCACCGTCCCAGTACGCTACGTCCTGCCCCTGCCACTTCCACTGTCCCCTGCTGGCTGCTGCACCCTGACCCAGATTCCCTGGCCTCCAACCCTCAGCATTTACACCTGCCTATTCCAAAGTATCCACTATCGTCTGTTCCTTTCCATCAAAGTTAGTTCATCTGAAAATGTGTTTTTAAACCAGACTCTTGCCACAGGGGAAATGTCACAATATACTAAATGTCATATTAACTACATATAAAAATCACAGAAATATACAGGAGTCATCTCACTTGATACTTTGGACAGCTCAAAAATCTCATGAAATTGCTGAGACTTCCTCTGAAGAAGTGTGAATTTACAAATTAAAAAATTCTTCAACTGCAAGGATGTACCCTAATTTTGAGAGGAAAATGTATGGGTGCTTTCCTGTTAAATGAGCTCTCTGTAAAGACTCCATGTCTGCTCTGCTCCATCTCTGCAAAGTGAAGCTTTGCACTGGCTATCCATGCCACTTCTCAATCACTCTGTCTCGAACAATTTGCTACTTTTTTTACTTATTCTTTTTTCTTTACCTGAATTCTCCTTTTTCATTAAGTGAGTCTCACATAAATACAAGTTTTGTATTTACTGGAGGACATGTGTCATTTGCTACAGCTAAGACCATTATAGCAGAATACCAGGAATAAAAACTGCAGTTTCTCTCAACTTTTTATTTCTGGCTTTTGTCTCCAGCTCTCTTCCTACCAGTTACTGCTACCTTACACCAACAGCTCGGTTCCACAATGACTGAATCTAAAAAGGAAAACAGAGCAGCAGGTTAAAAGATACAGAAAATCAAGACTGAAAAAAAAAGCAAAAGAGAAAATATTCCACAATAAGGAGAATGACCAAAAAAAGACCAAAGATCTGAAAACACAGTTCCCACTAATAGCTCAAGCCAGCCTTTCCCCATGGGCTCACTCAGCAGGCTCTACCAAGAGATACTGTGACACTGAACAGCTCAGTGCACTGTCACAATCCAATTAGCCAGGTAAGGAGCTGTGACATCCAAACAACAGACCTAAGCTTGCTCAGACAACTGATGGACAGCCCATCTCAAAAGCCACCACAAGCAGATATAAGTGCTGTGCATTTCATACAACTGACACCTCATTCCAATAAAAAGAATCAAAAGGTTACTTGAGAGAAAGTAATTTAGTGCCAACTGTCCTAGCAGAGGAGAGTCTCAGCCCAGATACACTCACTTTTTTCCCCAATATCCAATCTAACCATGCCCTGTGTCAGTGGGCAGCCATTCCCCCTTGCCTGGTCACTCCATGCCTTTGTCCAAAGATCCTCTCCAGCTCTCTTGAATCCCTTTAGGTACTTGAAGGGAATTGCAGGAGCATTAAAAACAACTTGCTGAGGTACTCAATACACAAAGTACAAACCCAGAGGCATGGATGGTTAGTGGCAGTGCCTACTGTTTTTAGTGCTGTTATTTATAATAAAGCTACTATCAAAAAGGCATTAGTCTGCCTCTCAGCCATGTTAAAATCAAGGAACCCTGAATTGCATCAAGTTTCATGTACCAAATCATACAAAAATATTTATTTTTCCCAAACAAGGCACAGTCTCTATAAAAACTGCTGGGACACTAATGCAATTAAAAAGTACATTTAGTGCTGTAATATGCACTTAACTTGTGAAAAAAAAAATTAAAACTCCAATAGAAACAATGAAGCCAAACGCTGTCAGTAAATTTTTGACATTTGTAAAATAATGAAAATTATCAGCAGCTACATTAGTGCAAACAACCCGATCACCTTGCACCATATTCAGGCCTTGAATTCAAGTCAATCCACATACAGATCCCACTCAAAAACTGACATGGCTTTGACACTTATAGATTAGCCACTTACTAAAAATTACATGGGAGCGGAAATAAAGCCTAATGTTAAAACATGGGAAACTTATGTTTCTCCTTCATTCCCTGAGAACCTCTGAAAGCTGAATAGAGGAATAAACAAAAATTTCAACTAAGAGTCTGGAGTTATGCACTGTATATGCCACTTAAAGCAAGACAAAGATTGAAAAAAAAAAATCCAACAGGGTTTATAGACAGACTTTTTTTTCCCCTGCTTGCACAAATACTGTGCAAGTATTTAAGGGCATGAGCAGATGCAGATTTACTGCAGGAGTGCTTGGGCATTCTCCTTTCCACCAGGAAACAGCCCTATCTTTTCCCTGAAAAGTCTCCCAGCTAAGCACAGACAAAGATAAGACAGTTTAACAGGTAGGCAACCTTTCCATTTCCTCCAGCAGAGCTACCCTGACAAGAGATGAACATGCCATGAGTGTAATTTACTCTAAACCAGAGAGACATAAATCCAAACAGGACAGCTGTGCCTTTCACGTGCAAAACACCAAAGAGTTACTACTAACAGGAGAAACTAAAACATCGGGTAAGTTTCTTTCACTAAGTAATTTTCTCACAGTAAAAACTTAAGGCTTTCATTTGGCTGCTGCAATCAATTTCATATCCTCTGGTTCTGGCTGCTACACCTATCTCCAGCTGTTTTCTCATTTCCTCCTTGCCACTTACAGCACTGGTAGCGAAAGCAAACAAGAGGAGTAAAATGGACAAACATTCATTGCAGCTTTAAATGAAAAAAAGGGCAGTCTCATTAACCTACTATTAAGCAATTATTCTGAGAAGTATTTCAGCATCTTGGAGAGCATAAGGAAAAGCAAGAAACTTAGAAGAAAAAAAGCAAACTTCACCACAAGTTAATAAATGGTTTTGACTTCTCTCTGCATGAAAAAGACCCTGTCAAGATTAAGTCCCAAGAAATACATAAACCAGCTATGGGGATGAGAGCTGCAATGGAAAAATGCAGAGTTGTAGAAGGATGGTTTCCTTGAGTGCTGACCCTGTGAAGGGACCAGAGAAGACAGTCAGTGTTGGTGGTGATGACCTAACCAAGGTGTCTGTGCTGGGAGGTTGGTCTAAATAGGCCAACAAGAACACATTGTTCTAGGGAGTGATTCAAAGCTCTTAAGTGGATCCCGACACTAAACTGACATCTAGAATAATCCACTTTTTTGTCACTAACAAGATAGGAGACCAGATTTTTAATTTGTGCAATAGTTTCATGGTCCCTGTAAGACAGGTAAACACAGCACTCACTGTCCAAAGAGCTGCTCTCAGCTTCTTCCTTCTCACTGACAGAGTAAGTCACCACAATGAACTCGATCGAGAACTAAGTCCAGCTGAAAACTAATGCAGAGAAAAACAATTCTGTTAGAACATGTTCAGTTCCTGACCCAATTCCTCACACAAATGCTTGGGTAGAGGAAAGGGATCACCAGGACCACCTTAAGCTGCAGTATCAGCATACAGCTGTCAGCAAATCACAGCACCAGGAACCTTGGATTCAGTGAGCAAGGTGGCTACACTGAGCTGTGTCCCCCCACTCTGCGTCATCCACCCAGGACACACTACATTGAAACTGCTTTTTCTAAAGCATACTGCAACCCTCTGGGTTACAGTGAATCTGTGGGCAAGCAAGCAGTCTGAATTCCATAGTATTTATCTGTGATCAGACTCTCCTCTGTATTTTATTCACTGAGTTGTTACCTGTGAACCAAAGTTACCTTTACTTACGCTCCTGTGACAGCAGCACACTTTGGCCCAGATGTTATCAAGGGTGATCTTTACCTTCGACCCCTACAAATTCCCAAGGGCACAGCCAAGCCTGTCCCTGTCTTCAGGACATCCCCCACCCACATCAGCTTGGGCAGGGTTAGAATCAAAATGCATCTTGTGCTATTTCTCTACTTCCCCTCTTTTCTTTTTTCGCTGCTGCTCCTGTAACCAGGAGCAATCTTCCTGGTTGCTACTCCTGCCCAGGGATCCCAGCAGAGCTCTTTCCAATTTCATTGTGTTTCATGAAATGATGCAAAGCAATGAGAAGCTTCATTCAGCACTGACTCATATTTTTCAGTCAGCAAGTAGCACACACCTGTGATCTCCTGCAATTGCTCAGAATAAGAGCTGGCCTTTCACTTTGGATCAGAAACTCAGGGAGTTCATGCAAGACATGGAAACAGAGTATATACTCAGGGCCCCCAGCCAGGCAGAAGGAAACTCAATTCCACATCTTTCCTCAGCTGTTTGCTGAACAAGCTCCCTCTTAATCCTTGCACCTGACAGTGGCAGAAAGCCCCAGATCGTGGCTCTTCCAGAACTAATACTGCTAATTCTGCTGTAATAAGCTGCAGCCTACAAAGGAGAGAAAAGCAGATACAATAATGTCAACTGCTTGAAACTTGTGGAAAAGATAAAAAAATCACTGCAGCTACTGACAACAAATCCCACACGTATTCAAGTCACTTGGGATATCCTGTAACCTGACAAGGAAAGCCTTGATGAAGAAAGCATTTCAGCTTTGTTTCTGGAAGAATAGTTTTTCCTTTGCTTTTCTTTTAGAGTTGGAGAATTAAAGGTCTATTCAGAAGGTAATATGGACAAAATTAGTTAATGTTCTTAAAATCTGTTCCATTCTCCCTTAATTTCTCCTTCCGTTCCTACCTAACATGCTTTCAAATCTTGGTTTTAATTTTTCACTATTTCTTTCAGTAACTGCTAGTGCATCTCACTAGATGACACTAGGTCTCTACTCATTCAGAGAATTCTCTACTGAAAGCTGGGAAATGCAAGTGAAATATACTTCTATCAATATTTTTTTAAAGTTTCCCTTTTTAATTTAGTAAGGAAATGATCATATTTTGCTAATCTGACAGTCCATTTCAGAAGGACAAACACGCAATCTAATCTGGTGTAGAATATAGGAAGACTTGCACTTGAAAAAAAGCAGTCACAAAGGAATTTCTTTTTGGCTGATCAGTCCCTCCCTTTTACAAGTCTTCATAATGCAAAAGTGATGAAGGAGTTAATGAAAGACCGTCAGAATGCTTGAAGGTATTGAGAATCAAAAATTATTTCAGGTTAAACAGCCCGTAAAATCCATTGCCACAAAAAGTGAAGCCTTATACTGCAGGTAGATACTGGAAAAGATTCTCAGTTTTATCAACAAGTATTTGTGGTCATTTCTCCCATCACACATTAATTTAAGCTTTTGTTTAGGCTACTGACAATCTGCTAACAGCAAAAGAAGAGGTTTCTTCAAAATAAGTCTGAGCAGAACAGGATTCTTTGGCCATCTGATGTAGTGCTGCACGATACCAAGATGGCAACACCAGCCACTCCCACGCCTGAAAAAAAGACCTGTGCAACAAGTTTCATGGCATTCTAGAGACTTCATAATAAGTATCTGGATTTTGTTTTCCTCTAAGGCTTCATCTAGATGAACAAGTGTCCAAGAATAAACTTTTGGGGAACAGCTATTTCTTTTATCTTTGCACAAGTACTCATTAAGTAGTGATACTCTACCAGGATACAGGAATTCAGGCTCCAAATTGGAGGAGCAGAAAGTGCTTATCCCTGGGATGGTAACTTTGGTCCTACCCCATGAACAACAGCTGCCCATGCACTAACTATTAGTCACCTCACAAATCACACCCTGATGCACATAAGGAAACTAGTCAGTGCTAGTTAACTTAATGTCAGGCTGTCAAACACAAAGGTGCAGTTTACTGCTGTTGCAGCAGGGACAGGAAATTCCAGGAGTTTTGAAAGCACCTATGGCAGAAGGGTGGTGGACAAGACAAACTTCCAGACTCCAAATTAAGACGTCCTTGCTTTTGAATCACAGAAAAGTTCGTCTGAATTAATGAGTGTTGGAGCAGACATAAACAGAATCAAACCCAGGTGAGTCCTTTAAAATGACCCTCATGCTGAAATTTTAAGAAGCTTCATTGTTTTACACACAACTTTAATTCATCTGGACTTGTATTCCAAATATTCTCATACACCAAGCCCTAAAAGGGCTACAATCAACCTTCAAAGCAGATGAAGCAAAAAACCCCGAAAATCCCACAAAGGCACTCAACCTTGGAAGAAAAACCCCCTCTCTCCCAGGAAGCAGTAAAGTCTCATTTCCAAACATACCCACTCTGCAAAGAAACCATCCCTGCCTTGAAACTTCCCACTCGTTCCCTCCATCGGCCCAACTATTCTTCATGTTAGCACAAGCACTTTCAGGACTGCAGCTACTGGTCAGGAAACCGATACAAGGCAGAACTCCCCCAGTCAAGGATACTTATTTCCATCCAGACTAGGACTCTGGTGTGGCCCAACACTAAGGGCAACCAAAAGAGAAGCAGGGCAAAAGGGTTTCTACTAGCACAATGTTAAGCTTTATATTGAGGAAACTACTGCCTCAGCATGGAACACATACCACACTTTAAACCCCCTCAATTTACATTTATGTTCTTGGCGCTTCTGCACTTCTGCCTGGACTGATTTGTTCTCTTCATGCTGGCTATTCTTCATGCAGCTCCTGAGGTCAGAACTCACTCTGGAACAGAACAGATGAACTAGTGAAACTACATAAAAGAGAAGGGTAAGGGGTGGGGGGAGGGAGGGGGAAATAAAAGCAGTGTTCAATATTTAATGCTTGTTTAACAAAAGGTGTAGTCCCACACCTCTAACAGAGCAGCACTGAGAACTGCTTGAGGACCCCTTCACTTACCAAAAGGACCATAAGCAAAACCAAAGGAATATTTTAATCAGTTTTAATACTTTCTCTAGGATGACTGAACTTATTTTACAAGCTTCTCTACCTACCTGTTCTCAAACTCCTTAGCATTTATAGTTCTGACAACCTAAAGCTCCAGATGCCTCATGTCAGATTACAAGTGCAATATGACATTGTAGAGCCAGCTCTGCCTACTTCAGATGGCCTTTTTCTCCTGTGCTGTGGAATATCACATCACGCACTGAAGGAGTTTTTACCACTGAGGAGGTGTAAATGAGAACAAATATCACTCCTTACAAAAATGCAGCAGTGGATATACTGCTAATATCAAATAACAATATCAGCTCTAACACAGTTCTAACCTTGCCACCCTGAGGAAGAGCAGCCTCTGCTCACTGAAGTAAGCTTCAATACCGTTATCAATTAAGAACTTAAAAACCTCAAGTTTGCAGAAATACAGTATTTACAAGACAGCACATTATTTCTTTCTGTAATTGCTGTCAGCCTGCAGTGTGCACACATGCTAAAACTCTGGGAATGGTAAGGAAGTCCAGAGCAGTAATTCTCAAGAGAGGCACGTATTCTTGCTGAACTCAGTGATGAGGGTCAAACAGTGCTGGATTTCACACCCTTTAAGTGATTTCCCTCCAGGTTCTTCTGTCATTTATTTAGTACAAGGCACTCGAGTCTGGATCCTGGCTGCATTTTTTACTTGGTAAGTCTATTTTTAATTGTTTATGAGCTTCAGAAAGTATTACTGATAAGAGGTTCATTGGAGTAGGTGGATGATCAGTAACAGTGACCTTTTAAAAAATTTGGAAATTATAGCTTTTTATTTAACACTCACTGCAAAAAATCACAAATGCTACATACAAGCCCTGATCAGGAAAGAGGATGCTCAGAGGATACACAGGGTGTGCTCCAATGCTAAAGGCATTGACTGCAGATGCAAGCTGCATCCTTGCCATACTCTGTGCCGTGCAACCCTGGAAAAGATTTCCTGAACTTTACAAACTTGTCAATTAACACAGAAAAGCCTCAAGAGTGAAGGACTTCTCCCTTCAGAAGAACACTCGATACAAAAGGAGCAGCTCCCACCTGGAATATTATAACCTCAGAAGTTCTGTCATACACACAAGAGGACAACAGAACACATTGAATTGAACTGAAGCATCTTTTTACCCACTTCAGGTTTCCTGAAATTTTGAATCAAGGAATAGTTTTCTTCCATTTTTCAAACCTTATCTTCTGCTCGGCAAATGATTTAACAGTAAAGAAAGCTGTTTTAAATAAAGATTGCACCCAAACTCTTACGAGGGAGAAGAGAAAACCAGTAATTGCAGCTCTTTTCTACACTGATGACAAGACAGAGAACATTTCACAGGGATTTCTGCAGATTAGCACTGATGATGACTTAATGCAAGGCACAGCCATTGCCCCCTCTCTGTTTACAAGGTATTGGCTCTGATTAAGGAAATAAGTTATTGGAGTTTTTTAAGAGATGTTTTTAAGCTGCTTGGACACCCCTCAAGAAGTATTAACCTACTAATGTACAACCCAGGGAGCTCCAAAAATACAAGGCATTCTTGTCCTGATCAGTGGATCAGAATATCCCAAGATAGTCTCAGATCCAAGAGAATTCTCCAAAGTGAGAGTGAGTCACTTCCACTCTCTCTTACTGCAAAGATGATACCGAACTTTTGTTAAATACCTGGTGTATTTTCTGGCATAAAATGCCTTGCATTAATTTACATTTCATCACATCTTTGACATATGGGCAATGTTTGATGGCCTTGAAGGAAAACAGGCATAAACTGAAAATTTAAAGTGCTTCACGTGTCCATTCCTGAGCCTAGAACACATGGGAAAACACATCAGAAGGCTGCCAGAACAACGAGGTGGCTGGAATACAAGACCTACACAGCAGAATGACAGAGTTAGCTGTGAAAAGACCCAGGGGAGATCCTTGTGAAAACATCATGGGGAGATCCTACTGCAACCTTCAAAGAGAAGGAAAAAGAAGATGGAGCCACGCTCTTGGAAGCGGAGAGTCAAAGGACAAGTGCAACAAAAAGACCAGCTGCAACAACGAGTGGTCAAACATTGGAGTAGGTTGCTCTGAGATGCCACGGAAACAAAAGTATTTCCTAAATACTAATTGACCTCATCTAGCATCAATGCTGGCCTTGCACTGAGTTGGGGCTGAACCAGCTTACCACAAAAAGTCCCTTCCAACCAAAATTATTTTACTATTCTCTGGCACTACATAAAATGAAGGATATACTTAAACTTCAAAAACAAAACATTGAGACTTTTTTCCATCTATGTAGTTATAACTATGATGCTCCTAGGACTGAGATTTAGTGGTCTCAGCACTCACTTCCACACAAGATCTAGAGGGTTTGGAAAATTTCTACAAGCTCTCATATACTGATTAGTTCTTCAGCAGAGGTATAGTAACTCTCAGCAACCTACTGGGGACCTGCATTTTCGAAGTGATGGATATTCAAACCCACCCAGTATTGAAGAGAACAGCATTAGAAAGGCAAAACCACTGTGTTTCACTGTTTAAGAGAGAGAATCACATGTGCTATGAAGTACAAAGATCCACATCAGACATGGCTCCTACAGGAACTTCAGTAAGAAAAGGAGAGAGCAGTACTAACAAGAGACCTCGCTACATTTTTCTTTTAATCTGCAGGAGAAAACCCAGGATCACAGTGAGTAAATCTAAACTAATAAAAAAGGAAAAATTCATCTTTGAAGTAATAAGGGCTACTGCATGCTCTCTTCTCCAGGATGTAATTGTATCTTGTCCCATAGGCAACAGAAAAGGTGCCAAAAGGCAGATGAAAATTCTCCCTTGGCTGCCAGCACTGGACAGCCCGTTTCAAGAGGCAGCACATCATACTGACCAACAACTGCACCAGATCAAGCACTTCTAACCAGGAGGAGCAGACTGATAATACAGCAGGACAAACATTCAATGCTATCTCCTTCCTCTGAGTCTGGTGGAGATGGAGAACTCATCCCTAAGAATTTGTCTGCTCAAGCTACTCAAAGCAGATGTCTCCAAAAACATTACAGATGTCACGTCAGGCAAGTGAGACATCTAAATATTTGATACTCGGCTCCATCATACTGTCATGGAAGCTTACAAATTCTTCTTCATGTAGGTCAAAATATTGGTAGGACAAGGAGAGGATGAAGCTGCTTTAACAGGACAAAACTATTTCCACACACACTACAGGAGCAAAGCATAAAATAGTCTGGGATCGTACAATGCTCCAGGTAGCTCAGAGCAGGCAGGAGTCAACAGCAGTCACTCTTTGGCAGGAAGGAGAGAAGACTATTAATAAATATGGAAGGGAGGCAAGGATCAAGTAATCAATGAGTACCTTTTGAGTATTCAGTATTGCCACAGGAAGCGATAAATCTCTCTTCAAAGATCAGAAGTGGCAGTAAGTTATATACTTAGCAGGAATGCTGGATTACACTAACTTCTTCCATCCTCCAAAAAGAAAAGAAAAGAAGAAAGGTTTTAATAATCTGATAAGCTTTGACTGAAACTACTAGCCTTCAAAAACGTCTTTTTTTTTTTTCCAACTTGTAATCTGGAAACTCCTAAAGTGCCTCTAAGGGGTTTTCTTGCAGCACATACTGGGGAAGCAAAACTGAAGTTTAGATTGCACTTCCACTGCAAACAGTTTAGCACACAGAAGCTACTGGTTAAAATGTAAAACTGTTAACTTATGTCATAGAAATTATACAACTAAAACCAGGGGGTATTTTTAATTCAGCAGCATTTCCTGCTTTCATTTTAAATCTCTGGATGTTAGAAGTGGTTTCAAGGGAAGAGCTTTGCAAATCAAGTACAAGGAGACAGAAAAACTATACAAGAAGCTGAACTAATTGGCCAAAAATCACTACTGGTCCTACTGCAGTGAAAGGCTCTTCCAGGAGCCGGTCCAGAGAAACCATGTCTCTTTCAACATTAAACAATGGGAGAATTCAATTGCCTGGACAACAATTTTAAACATACAGGGAAGTTTACAGCTCCATTTCAAAAGAGTAAAAAATGTTTACAAATAGCCAAATGCTGCTATTACTACTTGTACTCTTGACTTCCTTTGCAGAAAGCCTCTACTTACCCCAAAATATTTTGGGGCATGGTTCCATGAAGGCTCAAATCAAACTTGAGGCTGCATTTTTTCCACATGCACCTACATGTTATTGCCCTTATGAAACAAATTCTGCTGACCAGCTCATCACCTGGGGATGCAATTGCCAGTACAGACGTGGACATGGGGTCACAACAATCCTGATACAAGCCAACCTAATTTCCAAGGGAAGTCTTGACTTTTATCTCCCTAAATGCTTTGGTGTTTATTTCCAAAATAGCGAGAATTGCAAATTTCCTGGTATAGCTTTGATGGATAGGTTGGGAAAAAAGGAAAAATTTTCCTTTATACAACATGAGCATGAAAAAAAGCCCTACAAGGATAGATCACTGTCCATTTAGTCCAGTGGTCTGTCTCCAAAAACTCTAGCAGGAAACACTATGTAGGGAGAGCAATCAGTCATGTCTGTGGTTCACCACCTTTATCCCAACATCCAGTCAAGGGATTAGGGATCTTTGCCTCTGAACCTGTGAATCCCCTTCTGAACCTGCAGTATCTTCAGAGACTCTGACCAAAACAGGTTTTCCACCAACTGTGGTGTATTTGCCTCATTTTTTGCTCCTACAAGCTATAGGCTCACCACAAAACTCATTGCATTTACCCAAGAAGCTGGCCTTGTGTGAGCACAGGGAAGCAGAGCAGCCAGACTGGGCACACACTGAGTTCTCTGAAAAACTCCAGGGGCAGCAGCAGAGTGACACCATTCACCTTCTCACAAACAGCCAGGAGAAACCAGAATTGCCAAACTCAAGCATCATGTGCTTCTGTTGAAATTACTACACAGAGGAGCATGTGGAGCAAGTTTGCTCTGTAGCTCTGAGTTCTCAAGATTACATATCCCCTTTCCTACCCTTTGTAACATAAGACATGAAAAAGAAACCTTAGCTTCCAGCAATCTCCACCTAGAGATGCTTAGGCTACCATCAAGCTATTCACTGTAACATCCTGGAGAGCTCAGAAAGTGTCCAACACTTGTGTCAAGTCTCCACACATGAGGCATTAATATAGATTAAAATTATTGTGTTGTTTACTCCTTCCACAGCTTTATGTTTCATAGTTTAATTCCTGATTAAGTCAGTATTTTACTCAGCATCCAGTTTAAAACTAGGATCATTGCAGATAATGTAATTCCACACAACATACACAAATGCAATATATAAAATGAGTCAACAAATAATTTTATGTAACACAAAATTTTATGGAGTTATGTTTTCTTTAGTGGATTCCTTAAAAATCACCTTGCTTCACCCTCTGAGCGTTTTCCATGCTTAGAACCAGGAAGGAAGAACTTCTTTGCTGATACAAGGACTGTCTGGGCAGCAGTGCTTGTGCCAAGGCCCTTGGGCTGCCTGGTAGGCAGTGAGCTGGACACAAGCCAGAACTTGTCCTGGCAGCAGAGAAGTAACATTTATCTTTCCAACAGCTCCCCAGTGCCACAGCCTCAGATCAGGATGTATTAGTCACAAGTCTGGACAAAATATACAGGACACTATTTGACACATCTCCAATATGTATCAATACCTGCTTATTTTCCCCCCATTCAGAAGATTTTATTGCTTTGATCATATTCTTGATTGAAAAGGAAAAAATCCTAAACCTCTCTGTTCAAAAAGAGGGAAGGTGGTTCAAGAGAAGAGGTGCTATCCATCCTTTTTCTTTAGCACCCTGATTTACCACCAGGCCTGACCTCCCGTGAATGACATTTCTCTAAATATATATGAGAAAATAAAAGGTCAGCACCTTGCAGCTGGCTGAAGCAATTTTCAGAATTTTTTTTTTTCCCACCATCTGGCTTCAAAGATGTTAAGAGATTACGAGATACATGACTGCTCTTCATATCAATCCAATAGTTAATCACCCTCCCCGTGAAAAACTTGAGCCTTTTAATTTTAAATTGGGCTACAAGTTAGTATTGTGTTTGTCAGCAAGATTAGAGCAAGTTCACTAATACCCAGTATTATTTTGTCAGGGACATATCTGAGGACTCTCATCAAGTCACCTCAGTTTTGATGAGAAGCTGCACAGCACATGTTTAACATTTTACTGCATGGCAATACAGCTTAGTTTTCCAGCAAATTGGAGATGAATCTCTTTTCAAACAGTAATTTTTTTGGATGGTTTTGAGTGCTGAGGCCAAAACCATACGTAGGATTTTGGGAATGACTTCATCCCATCCCACAGGATGGGCAAGAAAATAACCCTGCTTATTCCACTAATGCATTTAAGAAATACATAAGGTTCTTTGTCACAGTATCACCTTGGAAACATGTGTTTATGCTGTTTATTCACTGACTCCAAAAAACACTTCAATCATTGCTTTCTAGGATACCAAGTGCCTTGATTTAAATTCAGCTGGAATACCTTGTTCCCAGGTGCACAGCTTTACATGTAGCAGCCTTAGCACACATAGTGGACTGCATCTACTCCACCTGACAATCACAATGACTGCCTTAGTGCCCAGTGATTTTTCAAAAACCAGAAGTTTATCATGAACAAGTTTTTAAAGACATTTTCATTAATTATTTTGTTGGTGAAAAAAGTGTGACAAGCAATTACTAGTTTTTGCTAAATATCCATGGAAACTATTCACTCTTGAACACCCCCAGACTAATCCTGAACTAAATGGCATTTACTGATACTCAGTACTAATATTAATATGGTAAGATCATCAAGATCAAGTCCTTTAACAAAGTTAAGTAATAAATTTAACAAGCTCTTGTTATCTTAAAGCCTTAGTTATTGGGACTAATATTTTTTTCTAATTAAATTCTGTACTAACAATAAATGTGAGAGCTGGTAATAATGTGAACTACATGTGTGTTAACACCATGCAGAGCTAGTCAAACACCCAAGGTGTTCTGGGTGCCTGCTACCCTCCCTGCACAGCCAGGTTCATCCACTCCACCTCCTTTTAGTACTGATACATCAGCACTTCTCTGACCTCCTGAATTTTATTACTGTTCCAAAGTGCATTGACTATAAAATAGCCCTAAATACTCCACTTTACAATATTCCAGTGCTGAAAAATATATCAATATGCCAAGGTAAATGTCTCTCTCACCTCCCAATGTACTCTGATGGGGGGTAGTTTTAAATAGTTTTCATGGTAAGTTTTAGCTTGTGTTTGGTTTTTTACATACTTTACCTGCAGATGTTTGAGACATATACAGGCTTCTAATGATGATGCATTATTAATACAGGGGTGCAATTCCATGCCAAACAATCTGTGATTTGCCTTCTGTTTTGCCAGAATTCGTGACAAATTCAATGATGTCAACAGGAATTTTTTTACAGTATGGGAAAAAACATGCAAAACAAGATTTTCAGTATAAGATGAACTTACTTAACCCTGTGTATACATTTGAGCAAAGATTTCCGGTGAAGCCCATGAAGCTTTAGAAATTTCATGAGTTTGCAGCTACAGCAGAAAAATAAGATGCTGCTGCTAACTGGCTGACATAACAACATGTATTTGGGCAGACTATTTGCACTACAGGGAGAAAAAAGAAATATCCTGCAGTTTAGCTTGCTGGACTGCTATCATTACAGAAGCCCTTGCTGGTGTCAATGGTCAGCATATCCTAACTGATCACTGTCCTTGTGCATTTAAACACTTTCAAACATTCCTGGCCTCATCTCTTAATATGGGCCCCACATAGCACACCGAAATGCTCAGGTAGCAGACAGTAAACTCTGGGAGGGCTTGAACTGAGGGGAGGAGTCTCTAAAAACAAACCATTACATAAGAAATGCAACTCTATCTATGGTTCAAAACTTCACCTGTAGGGATAGTTAGAGAATAATGCTTCGGGAGTCCATTCTATCACAGATGTCCCCTAAGTCAATGCACGTTAACTGCGCCATTCTTGACAGCTGTCTCTGCACTACTTCTCTTTTCACCTGTTAAGAACCACATTGGAAGGATATTAAGATTTTATAGCTTCCAAGTTTTTATAATACCGAGGAAAACTTCACTTTAGCTTTAATTTACATTTGACACCTAAACCAAGTTGTTATGTGTACAGTTACTTGAATGTTAACATGACCTGAAACTTAAAACTCCCTACTCACCTTCTGTTTATTCTGCTCTTCTTTTTGAGGTTATTTTTGTTTATCAGAGAAAAACAGATCACTCAGCTGAACAGCAACTCTTTAGTTTTATATTAAATATGTCTGGGATAAGCATACCTCATTTAATTCCTAAAGATTGATGAATTATTGGAGAGAGTGGGAGGTGCAGTAGAACAGGGTGTTGTAAATGAAATTCAAACGTCCTTCAGCACAAAAAAAAAAAAAAATCCAGTATTTTCAGCTACAGTCATGACAGGACAGATTCTTTCTAAGTTTCAGTAAAAAACCTGAAAGAACAAGGGCCATGTAGGATCTGAACCATTGTTATCAACACTAAATACAACCAATAAAAAGGGAATTTCCTGGATCTGTGTGTGCCTCTAAGACTATGTAGGTTACAGAGTAGCAGAGCTTGATACTGTATTGACATTTCAAGGTTTAGTACAACAGAGTGAACTGGGCATCTGAACTAAAGCCAAATGGATGAACAGGGGTTTAAGTAAAACAAATAAATCAGTACAGTTCAGTAAGTTAACACAAACAAAACAAGCAGTCAAAGCTTTGGTTTCTTTCAGCTCTTGTCAATGTGTGTCCTCATGTGTTCAGGTAAAGCAGTGGCTGCTCCTTATTACACATTTCTAGAGCACATACAAACACATTTGGGATCCTAATGCTTATTACTCCCTTGAGCATTCCCTCTCTGCTAAAGAGGTAAGAGAAGCTAAAGTCGTCAGGATGGGGAATTAGGGAGTTTTTATGCAAATATGATCAATAATATAGCTGGAAGAGCTAATGTACAAAAAACTGTTCAGACAGAGCAGGGAGAGCTATCCAGAGGTCAGTGGAACCTGTTTAAGTATGTGGAATAAGTGCAAGGAATAGGCTGGCTTTGCTCCAAGAACAGACAGACCTAATAATACTCAACGCCTAATTTCCAAAAATCTAGAAAAGCAGAAGTTCTTGGACATGAAGTCCTAAGGGGAGGAGAAGAAATTAAATTCTGGAGTAGGCTGTGCACAGAAATTCCTTAACAAGGTAGTAATGCCATATAATTAGATTTTTCAGGTAAATGCTGAAAAAAGTCAAAAATAACACAGGTCAGCTTCTGGCATTTCAAGACCGAGCACTGGGAGCACAGCAGGCGGGTATCAACCTGCAGCCCCAAGAGCTGGTGAGGATGCACACAAATTAGCTACAGATCATAGTCAAGATCCAGCCTGCTCACATGAAAACAGCTCTTGAAATAGCTCCTTCCCTCAGTAACGCTGCAGGCACGAGTCACCAGCAAACTTAACACTGTAGTGACAGTTTCTCCAAGCTCTGTCTGAAATGGACGAATCTTGCTCTATTATTTCAGTTGCAGGGCCACTGGAGGCTACAGGAACTCGAGTTTTATACCTTTTGCTCAGATATTTCTCGTCAAAAGTACCCCACAAAGTTTCTTGAGCCTTTCTGTGCATCCTAATAACCATTCATGCACAGCAGATGACATTAAAACTGAGCTAGCCCTACACATCCAGAAGAAAAACAAAATGGAAGTAAAAATCCATCAACAAAGCAGCAAGAATTGCTTTGCCCTTATACTAAAATTGCTTCCTCCTTCAGTTCTGCTGATGTCTTCTACACTGAAGGAAAGTGTTAGGGATATCGTTTAAGTAAGAACAGCCTGGATACAGCACGGAATTATTTCTAATACTCAACGGGCTCCTACAAATTCAACAGGCTCCGCAGAAGACGAATAAACTGGAGAATTCGAGATTATATTTACACACTTCCTGCACTGAAACAAAAACATGTACACTGGAAGCGGTAAACAGTGTTTTAGATGCTTCTAATGACACCTCTGGAGTTTATTACCGGAATTCAGTAACTGGCCAGAGATGAGGAACAGCCATGCACGTATTTAAGGGGAGAAAGGCTCGGCAAAAAAATAGGAAGTCACAAACAGGAAAGCGAGCTCATTCTCACCAACAGGCAAGTCCTAAGGATTACACTGACCGGAGAAGGAACCATACAACATTAAAAAAACCTTCTATCGAAGTCATTTCACAAGGTTAACACAAGGCCAAATCCGACACCGTATGAATATATATTGTAAAGAAATCTAAAGCTAACGAAGAGAACAAACAGCAAAGCGTTTGGACACAGAGCATGTGCGGTTTCCTCCTCTGCATCACAAAAAGAATCGGGTTTTGTGCTTTCCCCCCCCAAGCAGCACAGACCCATGGAAGGGAGGGAATAACGCCGCCCTTCGCCATGAGATTTCGGGCCCCATCCCTGGGCAAGCACCCGGCTGCGGAGGCCCGGGAGGTTCCCGGAGAGTCGCCTCACGAGTCGGGCAGCCGGGCCAGGTCCCAGCAAGTGACACAGCTGGTCGGTGGCTCGGTGGCAGCCCAGGTGCTCCCGATCGGAGCCTAAAGCCCCGTGGGGACCCTGGGCCCAAAGTAGGGTGGCGGGGACGGGACGGAGAAGGGGGGGGCGGACAGAGAACGGCGAGGCCGCCGCTCCCCGGGAGCGGCGCGGGGGGTGCGGGGGGGCTGCCGGCCGGTCACCGCGGCGAGAGCGGGCGCCCCCCAGCCGTGCCCGCCCCGGTGCTGCTGCATGGCGCTGCTCAGCCTGCCTTGCAGAGGGAGCTCGAGTCCCGCTCTGCGCCTCGCAGCGCCTCTCACTCCGCCGCACACGCCAGCGCAGCGAGGCGGCGGCCGGCGGGAGCGGGACACGCAGCCGTCCCCACGGGCACCGCCCGGCCGGACACCGCGACAGGACACGGGCGGCGGGCGGAGGGCACCGGGCGAGCCCCGCGGAGGTGCGAGAAAGGAGGGGGGAGCGGTGGCGGGGCGGGAGGGGAGCGGGCCCGGTGGGGCGGGGGAGGGGGGGGGAAGGAAGGGACGTGCGGGACGGGAAGGGAAGGGGGGGGCGGCAGGCGCGGCGGGGAGGGGGCGGTAATGGGGCGGTTAATCAGCGCCGGTGGCGCGGTGGAGGAGACAAAGGAAAGAAAATGGAGTCGGGGCCGGCGGGTGGCGGCGGCCGGGGAGGGAAGGAGGGCGGGCGGCCCGGGCGGTGCCGCAGCCCAGCGCCGCGCTGTGGGGAATGGCGGCGGTGGCGGCGGCGGCGGCGCGGGGACGGTAGAGGGAGACAAAGCCCCCCTTGCTGCCCCGGCGGCGGCCGCTGCGGGGCCCCAGCCGCGCCGGAGCCCCATCGTGACACCTAGAGGCCGGAGAACGCGACTGCAAACCCCCCGCCACCGCCGCTTACCTGCGCCCCGCGCCCCGCCGAGCTCCCTCCGGCCGCCGGGCCCCGCCGCCGCCCCGCGCCGCCCGCGGGCCCCGCGGAGGAGCCGCCGCGCCCCGCACGCCCCGCCGCGGCCGCCGCCGCTTTAAGCGCCCCGGCACCAGCCCCGCGGTTTAATCGCTCCACAGTCGCTTTCGGACACAAAATGGCGGCGGGCGGG